GTAATGTACAAGAAAAAAAAAAAAATAAATCTTCAATTATAAAATGTTAAAATGTTGTTTTTGTTATAAGTATTATTTTGTATAAATATTAAGATTTCACTGGATATTCTCCAATAGTTTTCTACTTTTTTAGGCTATCGGCAAGTCCATCCGTATTTTGTGCTTAAATATATTTTCAAATTCTTTTTCGACTGCCACATATATTCGTATATATTTTTAAAACATTTTTTTGCGGACCTGAAAATGTTTGTGCATCCGATACGCAAAACAAATGCAATCGCCGAAGTGGTCAGGGGGTTTTATATTCTTTTTCGCTGCAACTGAATGTTTTATCTCGCCCGCTGCGTTTTGGGGGTTTTGTAATATTCCCCGATGTCAGTTTGATGGCCAAAAAATACAAACTTTCCGCAACAACAAACAACGCGGGAAGGGAGGGGGATAAAGGCAAAAAAAAAACTTTTCCCATTTAATTGGAAAATTAAATTTTACGCTGCTGCAGCGTGAAACAGTGCGGGCGCAGAGTTTCTCACCTTCGCCTGATTTTGCGCCTCACTTCGTGCTTCCATTTGCAAGGTAATATCTAAAGCGAAATGCATTTAAAACATTTTGCCTTGCTGCATTCCGGGGATTCCCGGGGCCACTCCAAGTGTCATGTCAAGTGTCTCCAGTGTCCCCGCCTTTCGCCCGCTTTTCCACCCCGCTTTTCCACCCCGCTTTTCCCCCCTGCTTTTCCTACTTATGCAATTTTCCAAAATGACTCGGAATTCATTTGACAAATTGTCTGTCCAGCGGAGGAGTGGGTAAGCAGTGGGTAAGCAGTGGGTAAGCAGTGGGTAAGCGGTGACCAAGGGTGCGGAGGGCAGATGCATCATTTCACTCCTCGGACGGCTGTCGGCATTCGTTTTGTGCCCTGTCATTGGTCGGGCAAGTGGCAAAATTAAATTTAACAAGACGAGTGCCAAGGCTGCCACATTGTTTAAAGTGCTTAACAAGCGGCAGGATCACAAGGACGAGGGGGGCAGGGGGTGGGGTAGCCAACACCTTCCAACGGCCTCCAGCCAGTTGACCCACCACCGATCCGATGGAGCAATAGAGCTCTGGAGCTCGGTAGCTGCAGCCACCAAAGAAGTGGCATGAAAAATGAAATGAAAACCAGCAAGTAACCGCAATCATTGCTCGACTCGTCGCTCGTTAGCAGCACCCGTCCCGGGAAAGTGGAAAAATCGGGGGAGGGGGAGGGTGAAAAGCGACGAAAGTGCGGCTGCGGAGTTGGTGGTCCAACCAACCTCAAAGAAAAGCGACCAATGCATTTTCTTGCACTCTGATTCGAGCCGAATTTGTGGGCAAGCTTTTTGTTAGACTCGTGAATATGATGATTTGTCCGGCATTTAAAGGAAAGAGGGTTAATAGATTTTAGACTCAGTTTAAGTTTAGGGTCAACATCTTTTACCAGCCACCGTTTGATTACTATTGTCCCTGCCTGCAAATCTTATACCTTGTACAATATTGTCATTCCCAACGGGGCGTATACTTAATAAAAGATTGTTTTAAATTAATCGCTATGCATCTTCTTTCTATACCTTTAATGTTAAGATATAAAACTTTAATTATGAATATACCCTATTTAGTTGCTATTTTTTTTATTTTAGTTTTGCTTATTCCAAGATATTATGGTCAATTCATTTGGATCAAATTTATTATATTCTAAGCAGAATAAAGTATTAACTGAGTTCTTATAGGTATTTGTTTGTTTATTAAGAACAATATTTTATCTCTGACTATTTATTTTTCAATATTTTTTAGCATTATAATTATTTCCAATAGTATTTAAGCATTGTGATGCGTTTGCTCGGTATTAAATCGGTTTGTAAAGTCAGAAGTTTGTGCGGTCCGTAGCTGCACTCTTCATGGCTTTTCCCAGCATTTCCCTCCATTTCCCCCCATTTCCCATCCCATTTGCCTGTGCCATTGTCCCCGCTTTTGTCTCTGCCTGCGGGCGCTGAACTCATTTGGCTTTGGTGTCGGCCTGCTTAGCAGGAGAATGGCTACAAGTGCTGGCCAACAGGACGGGAATGGCTGAAACCCAGTCAGCCAGTCAGCCAGTCATCCAGACATTCAGTCATCCAGTCAGCCAGTCACTCATCCCATGATCCTGCTGTCCGGCATATTGTTTGTGTGTGTGTGTGTGAATCTGTCTGTTTGAGAGGGGAAAGGATGATGAAGAAAGAGCTTTGATTTTGCGGTTAGAGGATGTGCCACGCCCACCCTGCTGCGACGCCCCCCCTTGCATTAGGTAATTACTTCTTTGTGAAGCTCGATGAAGTGCAAATTCATTAAGCTAGTGCACTTACTTCTGCAGTTGCGGCTTGCGTTTTTACAATTAATCAACATGCAGCGACCTTTACACACACAATCAAATTAAGTCGCTCTTGACGCTCGCTTGTTATTTAATTGCGAAATTAATTTTGCATCGTCAGATGTCAAAAAATATTCAGGTGCTTGTGTCACAGCTAAAAACAAACCTTTTTTTGTTGCCGTCACAATGTCATGATACTCATATGTTGCCCTAAAATAATTCCAACTAAATTTGTTTGACACAAAAATGTTCGATTGTGCCATTAACACATTGTGCATTTTGATCACCTCTGCTTAAATGTATTTAAAGTTACAGGTGTTCAGTCTAATGAGAACTGACAATTGATATTATTGCAAATAGATTATATTTTTTCAGAGGTATTTTCTGTGCTGTGCGAAAGTCTGTGGTATATTATTATTTGATAACCCAGGTTTGCTGACCTTATGCTCCTGGTGCATTCAAAGGCCCAGTTAAAATTTCATAAAATCCATCGCCCATAACCATTGGCTCGGATGTCTATAGTCAGTTTGGTGCCCCAAACTTCGGGGGAATGTGTAAAATTAAGGGAATCGGCTCTTTGGCAGGCTTGCATCGGATTATGACTGGGAAATGCAATTTGGGGCCTGAGAAACCGACTCAAGCCAGATATTCGAACTCAAAGCAAAGGGATCTGGCCAGCTGCTAACGAAGCCGAATTTCAAGTATCCACTTGCTGCTTTCTACCCCTTTTTTCCCAGTTTTCCTTCACTTCGCCGGCAAAGGAATAAACTTGCTTATTGCATTGAAATGCAATTCCAACTTGCTACATTTATGAACTATATAGACTACATAGTGTTTGGGCAGCGAATGCGAAATAAATTTCCGCACAGAAGCAGTAGCCAAAAGAACGGAAATTTCCCTCATAATTTCGTTGGCGGGTTTTATAATAAATAATTTTTCACTAAAATTCCAGCACACAGACGGAAGATGGCCACTCAATAAAAAAATAAATAAGAAGAAAGCGCTCCACAAGCACAAGCAGAAAGGGACACACAAAACTGAGCGTAATACAAATAAATGCGAGTGAGGCCAAAAAATCGGGGGATAAATGGAAAAAGAAAGGCGGAATGTAGTAAGTGCATGCCAGCACCAGAAACACTCAAAGTTTATGAAAGGCGCGTCCTCGTCGCCGCCAAAGTTTTCTCAATACTCTGTAGGAAGCAGGGTCCTGGAAAATGGAGTTCAAGTCAAAATATACGATTTAGTTGGAAAAATAGGATGGCTAGGGAAGCTCGATGCTATGTTATTATTTTAATTAAAATGTGGCTTGAGATTATATATATATTGTCAGTATTTTAAAGATCTTCTTTGTGGATTTCTCTTTAATATGGTGGTCAATTATCTGAACCTAAATATAAAATATATTGGATATAGTGGCTAGAACTGCGCTTCCAATTTATACTTTAAAGGTATTAAATTATTTAGGCATTCTTTTGAATGAAAAAAAAAATTAAATTAATGTTCAATGTAGAGCAAGTATTTGGCTTGAAATACCTTTTAATCTTTTAATTTTCATATTATTATTTTATTTTTCTACTCATAATTTTGTTTCCTTTAAATATATATGTAAGAGTACACCATTAACATAAAACTATTATTTGATTACAGTTTTTCTTCTTTTCAAAATGGATGGCTGAACGAATTAAACCTTATCTTAGAAATGACTGAAAGTCCCCTAATCTATTAATTTTTTTAATTTATATAGTTTTGTTATTTTTTTATAAGACATTACTATTTTTTCGCTTAAGTAAATATAAGTATCAAAAACAAAGTAATTATTTAGTTTAAAATTGCAGCGATTTCTTGTTTCTTTTAACTACTTTACAAAATTACGATGTTTAAAGAAAGCATTAGACTTTTTTAAAGCCATTACCGACAAAAGGTATATCTTTCTTTAAATCTTTTAATGTTTTGCTTAGTTTCATAATTCACAACAATAATACTGTCACAATAAGTTTAATTTCACCAAAAATAAACACATTTTTTCTTTGAAAGAGCACCTGGCTGTGGGTCATTTGGAATATATATATAGATTTTTTTGGCCTACCGCCGGCCACGTAAAACAAAGTAGGGGTATATCACAGGACCCTGAGACTGTGTATGTGTGTGTGTGTGTGTGTATCCTGGTGTATCGCCAATTACTGTGTCTGTTTGAGCGTACAAAGCGTTTTATAAACCAACTTCGACTTTCGAACGGCGACCGCCTCGGTTTTCCGATGCCAGTCACGCTTGGACTTTGTCGGGGAACTTTTCCAGCCCTCACCCGCCATTTTCCGACCCCCACCCCCCCGGCTGCCCCATCCCATCACCGGTTTTCCCCCAGAAGCTGTCGTTGCTCTTGAACTTTTTCGCTTTTGATTTTATTGCCAATTGACCAAGTTTTTGGGTCGATTGCTTATGTTATCGCAAGGCAAGGAAAAAGGAAGGACCCAGGAACGATTGGGAGGTGGAGACCGGTCACTTAAAATGCCAAGACAGCTGTCTCGGATGAGTATCGCGGCCCGGCACTTGTATCTGTATCTGCAGCCGGGTATCCGTATCTGTATCTCAGCCGTCGGCCAATTCCCTAGATGGGTGCAGCATATTTAAAATGTCTTCAACTCACCTCAACGGCCACGTGGCATCCACCGAGCTGCAAGATAGAGAGAAAGCAGATGCCAAGGGTGAATAATAAAAAAATAATGTATACTGTATTAATCAAATTTAAATTGGCTGAAACTGAACAGCCATCGACCAGTTGATCAGTTTAAGAAACTGCACTTTAGGTGAATTTATTTATATATTACAAACCATTTTTAAGCATAGACCTCTGGGGAAAGTAAAGATATACACGCATAAATAAATATTCGAAATAATTGACAGTATTGGGGCGAGATTTCATTTGAAATGCTTCGCAGAGCAAAAATCATTAAATGTTTAATATTTGTTTGTGGGCCAATAATTCTCATTGCTCCAACTGCAAAATAATCATCAGAATAAAAGTCAATAAATTTCTGCGCTTTTTTCATCAGGATACATTTTAATTTATTTGTTTTGCGTTTTGTAAGACAAATAATTACTTTTTTATTTACTTAAATTCAGGCCTTTGACCTTCCGTTCGGTTCGGAGTTTAAGCCTTAACGACCCAAGCTTTCAAAAGTGCTGGATCAGGGCTCAAATTTAAATTTTTTATTTAATAGAATTCAGGCGTGTTTTGCAAAAAAAAAAATACAGAAGGCTTTTCAATTCATGGGATTCGTAGAAATGTGAGAGGCAGAATAATTGAACTCGATTCGGCTGTTATGCACAAAGTGGAAAGCCATCAATAAATTTATGATTTGTGGGTTACCAATTAATGTTTGTTGTATCTAATAATACGAATATTTAGGAAATGAATTAGAAGAATGCCTGTGTTTTTTAATTAACCAGCTCCAAGCTAAATTAATTAAAATCCTTATTATAAAATTTCACAGAACATTCCAAATGACTATTTGGATATAAACTAAAACAATATATTTTTTGCATTGGCTTATATAACTTAATAAATTAAAGAAGCTATTTTTTTTAGATTTTTAATAGCGCAAATTGACTAAGCCCATTTTATTATAATCAAAGAAAAGTTGTTCTCTTTTCCTGCTTAGTCCTTGCACTCCTGGAACTATGCTCTCGCAGGGCTTAAAAACTCATCCAATCCTCTGAGACTCGTGGCCGGAATAATTCATCGGCCCATTCAATCCCACTGCGATAACAGTGGTCGGCGAATACTTCATTGGCCAGCCACAACAATGCCCCTAATTATCGACTTAAGGGCATTTGGCCGCCTCTTAGCTTATTAGACGGCAAACCGCTGGCCAAATACGCGGAGCATGGCCGAGTATTTTGGGCCACTGCCCGGGGACCCAAAGCCGGAAGGGAAATCGGAATCGGAATCAGAATCAGAATCAGAAACCGAATCAGAATCAGAATCGGAATGGAGAATGGCATCCGTATCGCAGGTGGAAATGGGGCATCGTGAGGGGCCACCCGTGGAGCTGCGAAATCTGTGCGAATTAGGCCGACGCGTAATAATAGTAATAACAATAATAATGATCAAATTCAGGGCGCAAAAAACAGGAAAAAACAAACAAACAAAAAATGAGGCAACTACACACCAAAAAAATTAGGTTTCAAAATTTTTACAATTCTTTGTGACTTCAATCAATTAATTCTACTATTAAGAGGGCAATTCTTTTTTAATTAAAATTATAGAAATTTAATTCAATTTGGATATTTAAATAATAGTTTTATGAAATTAAAATCAGCTGACATATATTTTTCCAAAAAAACCTTTAACGTTATTCGAATAGGCTCCTGATCCTGAAGTCCATAATATTCGACTTAGTGAAGTTTCAAGAAAAGATTATATTTTTTCGCTGAGTGCACCAGACTAAATTTGTGCGCATTAAATAAATAACGGCAACATGTGTGTTTCGGTGCACGGCATAAGCGTAATGAATGCACGATTATTTGTAGCTTTTATTAGCAAGGCTGAAAAGGCGGAGCTCTAATGCCAGCTGCCGTCGGAAAAGCCGGGTGGAAATGCGGAAAATGCGGGATAGTGGAGTTTCGGTGGGCGAAAAACAAAAGGAATCGAGGTAATCCCGGCGCACTCGAGCTCTGTTATCATGTCAAGCGGCCAAGTGGCTAAGGATTCAGACGGAAATAAGCTTTTGTTAATACGAAAGAATTATTCCAGTTACCCTTGATCAAGAGGATACGTATATTAGGCAGATTCTATCTTTACAAAAAAGTGAGATCATTTGAGGGTAACTCTACTTGGCATTTTGCTCAGTAAGGTCTTACAAAGTAAACTCCGTACATTCAACATTTCGTTATTTTTTGTATTTTTAAAACCTTTTGTCAATTGTAAATGGTAAGCTATTTAATGTTATGGGTCTCAGTAAAATGAAGTATCCACTATCAAGTATATTTAAAATGAAGAAATCAAATGATGTAATATTTTTAAAAGCCTGAGAAACACATATACGATATGCATATTGAATTCATATTGAATTCATATTTAGAACGTTTTATTTCAAATCTTAGAAGGTTGTTTTTAGGCATTATTCACCCATATAAAGTTAGCTAATATATTTTCCATTGTTTAGCAGAAACTTTTTTTTGCATGTAAAGAATTCTTATTCCCGTATGACCAATTGAAAATTCATTTATAGGGAGTTTATGACCGGCCCAATCACCTGTTGGAGCTTTTGTTGTTCGCCATTGTTGATTTTGCTCGATTGCTACAAATTAGCCATCGATGTCGCCTTTTGTTTGGCCGATGTGCGGACACCAATGCATATTCATGGGCTGGCTGTGTAGCTGTATTGGTGCGTATCTGTGTGAGGACGGGGTGCGACGTTGGCCAAAATCAACACTGACCATCCGCTCTGATTGAAAACGGCGCCAAGGCGAGCAAAAGCCAAAGAAAACTAAAAAACATTGCGGAAATCAACAAATTGAAAAGCAAATTGAATCAGTCGAGCGCGGCGAAGGCATCAATATAGGCTTTGCTTTTAAAAGTGGTATACCTTCCATAACCAGCGTTCAAGTTGCCGTTTTTAATTTTGTGGCGATTTTAAATAATATATATTATAATTGCAAAAAAACCTAACGAAAAATTAAAATATTTCCCAGTGGAACTATAAAATATAGTTGTCCGATCCCGCCCTTTTTTACTTATAAGTAACAAAAATTAGACTCTTTGCAAAAAAAAAATTATGGGTTAAATCATCAGTTTTTGGACAAAGCCATTTTTTGAAAATTTGGAAAGAGGTTACATCATAAAATTATGAAAAATCTCAAATATATTCAAACCAAGATGAAAACGTAGAGTTTTAGAAAGGGTATAAACATGTTTGTTTATTTTTAAGTAACAATGATTATGGGCTGAATAACAGAATAACATATCAGGTTTTACTTTAGTTGTCCTTCACTCGTCCTATTTGTAGATATTACATAATCCAAAAACCCCTGATTAATTCAGAAACTTTAACTATTAACTAACTTAATATTATTTTTATTAAAAGAGTAAAGTGGAAAATTTCGCAGCTCAAAACACCCAAGTCTTACCTTAAACTAGCTGTTGACTTAAAAAGGCCCCGGAGCGCAGTTTGAAATTAAAAATTTTGGCAGCCATAGAATCTTTCTGTGGGGCTATTTCTTCCGCACCCCTTTCTTCCGCTTTCACCCCCTTTCACCCACTTTCCAGCCACTTTCTCCACAGCCCGCACACCCAATGAATCTGCATATGCGTAGAGCACACAGAAACTCAACAGGAGCCTTCAAATATGCGCTCATGTCGCAAGAGCGCAAAACTTTATTGCACCATATTTTCTCGAGCAGCCAAAACACACATATGAACAGGTACACTACGAAAAAAAAAATAATTTTCAATTAAGATTTTATATTGGAAAATTATCAATACAAAAAACCAAAGCTGTTCGAAGTGAATATATATTGATTTTGGCTTAAAACAGAAGCAGTTTAAATGTTTGAAAGTAAATGCTAAATGTGTGCATTTCGTTAAACACAAAAAATATAGACCACGCTAATTTTGTTAATTAATCATCTTTTTAATTTTGTTAATTATACACACTTAACAGAACTAATTCACTTAGAACTTATTTCTCAACTGAACCAATTGAATTAATTTCTGTGTGCATGCGTGCATGCTATTTTTATCAGCGAAGCTGTGGAAAAATTTGTCCTGATCCTTTTTGCCATGCCAAACTTGTTGGGCAACTTTTAATACCCGTCCTCTGTCTCGAGGGTATAGCTGCGTTCCGGGAATTCCCGCACCCAGCCAAATAATGCCCTCCTCTGGGGGCGAATGTTCAACTGGTTACAGGGTATGGAAGAGCCTCATCCTGCGAAAACAAACAAAACTCCGATGATCTCCTTTTGCAGCGGCACAAAAACGCTCGACGAAATTTCATTGAAAGCCGACGACACAACGCTGTTGGGACAATTTTTGGCGATTTACGTTGTGCGCACACCCTTTTTGAAAAACGGCCAAAATTGAGGTTGCGATGGGGGAGTTCTCGGAATGGGCTTGCAGTTGGGTCGCACTGCGACAATTAAACCCTCGCACACAGAGTTACTGATACGGCGCGGCGAAAAGGAAAAGTCTGCCAACAACCAACAACCAACTGGCGAATGGTGAATGGCAGCTGGAAAAGCGGGGGAAATGCGGGAAAATGCGGCTCAGACTAACGAAGCTAAATGTATGCAAACAGCAAACATAAATGCTGCAAGTGAAAAGGGAAACAGTGAAAAGAATACCTTTAAATGTAAGTTGCATTCTTCAATTAAAAAGATATTCTGGTGTTCCAAGTTATTTTTTGAATCAACTCTTTTTACATTCGGAAATGTCTCCTTCACTGCGTTATAAACTTCAGACCAACATTATAATAGCCTCTGCAAGGGTATAAAAAATATATTTATATATATATATATATATTTCGATTGAGTAGCCAAGTACAAAAAACCATATTTTTGTACATTTTTCATTGGCTGTCTACTGTTTATGCTTCTTTTAAAGATTTAAAATAATAACTATAGACTCCTTTGCTTAAAGTGATTAAAATTTGTAGACTTAAATCGATTAGCATA